TTTAAATGAAAACAAATATTCAGATCACCTGGACTACTGCTTCAGGGGGTCTTGCTCCATGAAACCACACCTGTCTGGAAGGAATCCACAGCCCTTCCACCCTCCATGGAAACAAAAGCAGAAATTCCCCTCCTAAGTAACCTGTATTTTAACAACTGTTGCTCCTTCCCCAGCAATTAAATGATTTAAAGACAATACAATAGCATTCTTTTGTTTACAGCCACACATTTATGATCACACTTAACACACACACACACACACACACACACACACGTGTGGCCACACCATACATAATAGAACATACACAACAAAACTCACAAAGGAGAGGAGGTGTGGGAGGGATGGCCATCCTTACCATAGCTTGGCCTCTTTGGAGAGTCTTGAGGACTGCCACATCTTTGTCCATTCCTGTATAGTCTTTTGTAGGGCCTGGGTCTTTTCTTTATCTACTTGGACATATTCTACTTTCTCATTCGATGTGACAGATGATGTGGATGGCTTGTGGTGAGGGCTCGGTGAGAGGGGCTGGAAGTCCAGAGCTGTGTAATTTATGTTGCCAGTACTCCTTTTGGAGCTGGGTTGTTAGTGCCACTGGGTACAGGGGATGAAGACACTGAGTTCTGCATAGGGACCTGTATCTTTAAGTCAGTTTCTCTTAGCCCGAATAGGCCTAAGACATTTATAAACCTTATTTATCAAATATATCTTACTTACCAAAACTTTTTTTTTAAACTAAAACTTTTCAGAAGCTTGGTGTTGAATGAAGAGCCCAGAATATAAAATTGAAAGCCTAAACACATTTTGGGGAAATTGAAGCTGATAGCCAGTGTTAGCTTTTAACAATTGCTTTCTGCCTTAAGAGCAGATATTCTGGCAGCTACGGTACACAGAGGGAAAAACTTTTTTCTTTTCTTTTCTTTTTTATTTTCTTCTTTCTTTCTTTCTTTCTTTCTTTCTTTCTTTCTTTCTTCTTTTTTTTGTTTTCAGAGTTTCTCTGTATTGTTTTGGAGACTGTCCTGGAACAGGCTCTTTAGACCAGGCTGGCCTGGAACTCAGAGATCCACCTGCCTCTGCCTCCCAAGTGCTGGGATTAAATTAAAGGAGTTCGCCACCAATGCCCAGCCAGACAAAAAAACTTTTAACAATTGCTTCCTGCCTCCCATCTGGGCAGCTTCCAGCTAGGCAATTATGGTGGGCAAAGCTTAGCCTCTAACTATTGCTTTGTGGGACCCCTGCATTGCATTCCCTTAACTTTTAACTGTCCTACATGCCTCTACTCTCTTTGTCACACTGTCAGAAGCCCCAACTCTGACCTGTGGCCCTAGTAAGCTGGAAGTTTTTTATGCCCCGTGGTGATTGGAATAAAGTTTGCTTTCTGGTTCCGAGACTTTGGTGGTCTGTTCCTCATTTGTTTGCGTGCTCCTGGGACCCAACATTGAACACAAGTAGCAAAGACCTAAGTGGTTAGGCATACATCTCTAAGTCAGTTTCTGTTCACCGGAGTAGACCTCTAAAACCTTAGGAATTTGGAAATCTTAATCAATAAGCTATTGTTTGCTTGGAATTTTACAGCACAATACCTGTCCCTAATGGTCAGAGAGCTAATCAAGAGGTCTGAATATCCATGACCTTGAATGGAGGCACAATTTTTTGTTAACAAGAACAAAGAAAAATGAGGCTGGAGAGATGGCTCAGTGGTTAAGAGCACTGGCTGCTAAGGACCTTTTAATTCCCAGCACCCAAATGGAAGCTAACAACTGTCTGTAACTCCAGCTCTAGGGGTCCAGGACCCTCACACAGACAAATATGCACATGAAATAAAAACAACAACAAAAAAAGTACCAAGAAAAGGGAGGAAAGCCAGAGCTAGACATCTGTAGTTACATTTAGCCATTTTAATTGTTATATAAATCTTTTTTGATTAAAATTTAAATAAAATTTTTAACTTATTTTTATTTTGTATTCATTGGTGTTTTGCCTGCAGGTCTGTCTGTATGAGGGCATCAGATCCCCTGAAACAGGAGTTCCAACAGTTGTGAGCTTCCATGTAGGTGCTGGGAATTGAACCCAGGTCCTCTGGAAGAGCTACTGGAGTTCTTAACCACTGAACAATCTCTCCAGACCCTTAAATAAAAAAATGTAAATGAGACCTAACAGTAACAAATAAATATACCATTTATTGTGAAAAGTCTGAGAATAGGATATAGAAAGGTAGGTTCCAGAAACAGGAATGTAGAAATATAGGAATAGAAAGTTGTGACCATAGGAGAATGAGAGCAAACTGTCAGCAGCCTTCTCAGCAGCTTAAAGGTTAACTTTTAACAATGGGTTCCTTTGCTTTGCTCTGTCTGCAAGGCTAAAATAGCCCTCTGCAAACTAAGGGTCTCTCTGCAAACTGAGGGTCAGCTTTCAGATCCCCTCACCCCCATCATGACCAGCAAATTGACATGAGCTGAGTTAACTTTTAAATGTGCTTTGTTCCACACTCTTCCCAGCTATAAAAATCTGGCAGTATCAGGGGATTTCAGAGTTTTGGTAAACACCACCAGAAAGTGCCAGAGAGAAACAATGGACTAGATACAAACACTAGCTAAAATGAAAAACAACCCTGTTAATGGAAATTGTAAAAAGCAATTTGTACCTCGAGATTGTAAAAATTCTTTTGTTCATGACTAATGCTTGCTTCTTACTATAAAAAGGGGAGTTTGAAAACCACCCAATTTGCCAGTTTCAGAAGCCTGAACTCTGGCTGTGGACACGGTTGTAGCTGATAAGCTTTTGAGCCCCTCGGAGATTTTTTTTCTTTTCCTGGCATAAAGCTTGCTTCTGGTTTAATAGACCTTGGTGGTCTGCCCCCTATCACTGCAGGACCCCAGACTCAACATATTGCAAGAAATTTTTCTTAAGGGGGTGTTAGACAATATGAAGAACCTTTACCCAATATATTTAACAGCTTTTCCATTGCTTCATAGGTGGGCCCCATCCTTAATCTTAGTTTTTAGCCTATATATAGCTTTCCCAGCAAACCTAGAGGCCTCATGCAATTTAGGGCCTAATTGTATACAATTAGGAGGGAGAAGTGATTGGATGCTCAGGTGAGGGTCCAATGACCTGGTCTTTCTTCCTTTTTGAAGATTTTTTTTTTTTTTTTTTTTTTTTTACAGGGTTTCTCTGTGTAGCCCTGGCTGTCCTGGAACTCTCTCTGTAGGCCAAGCTGGCCTCGAACTCACAGAGATCCTCCTGCCTTTGCCTCCAGAATGCTGGGATTAAAGGCTTGCACCACCAACCACACCTTTAATATTAACTCTTAACAAGCCCATGATGATTTGAAGGAGGCATCTGTGGAGTTACTAGTGAGAGGTTTTAGACAGAAGGTTTGATTTGACTTTATAACCAGTGTGTGTGTGTCTGCAGATGGAGGCAGACAACCTGAAAAGCTTCATAAGTATCTTTTCATAAAGTCATCAGGTTGCAGAATAGTTTAAGTATCTGTAACCTAGAGGCCTTTAAATAGAAAACTATAAAAACAGAAAATGGTGGCATCAGGTTGCTTTTGTTTTCTTTACAGATTTTTAACCATATCGAATAAGCTTACAAATCTTAAGGCACAGAAAGTTTATATAACAGTCTTATAAATCTTATATTTTATAGTCTTATAAACCTATATTTTAGCAAAAGCCTGAGAGAGTTAAGTAAAAGCAAGAAAAGGAGAGTGAGACAAGCAGAAGTAATCCCTCTTGGAATAGTCACCTTTTAGCTGTTTTGAACACCAAGTGTCTTCTTCTGGATGTTTGTTTTTCCTTTCCCTGCCACAGGCAGGAGACCTGTGTGCCCCCAAGACAGAGATTTTTGGAGAAAACCTTTAAAGGGGCATGCTTGGGGTCAGTCGAGGAGGGTCATAACCCAACTCCAGAGTCAGTTTTTTAATAAAGTAGAACAGCAGGAAAAAATACTTCAATATTATCCATTTCCAAGACACCTGTGTTCCAGGTATTTGTTTACACTGTGTGAAGATGTGTATTGTTATTGGTTTAACAAAGTTGAATGGCTAGGCAGGAGAGAATAGCTTGGCAAAAATCTAGTTGCAGCAGATGCCATTGAGATATGGGGCAAGCTGGACATACAGGATGGAAGAGATGAATAGAAACAGGATAATTTAAGTTATAAGAGCTAGTTGAGAACAAGTCTACACTGAAGACTTAGCTTTCGTAATTAATAATGAGTCTCCATGGCCTTATTGGGGAGCTGGTGGCCTGACAAAGTCTAATTATACACCTGTATTCCTGAAAAACTGAATCCACTCACCAGGGCAAGCAGAAAATAAAGCTCAGAGATAAGAATTTGAGAAACTGGCAGGACTTAAACAGTAGACTCACTGAACCAGTAAGAGGGAGAGACGGAACAAACCAGTAGTGGTGGTGGCATGGCGGCAGCAGTGGCGTGGCGTGGTGGCAGCCTTGTGGAAATCATGTAAAAATGATGAAGTGTGCAACCCAGAGGGGCCTTACCTATGCTTGGTCCGGCTCCCATGTCTGAATCAAAACCCAGGAACACTCCAGAAAAAGTAAATCCATGAGACAAAAGCAAACAAGAGTGTTACACAGAGACCAGACAAACACAGACAGTGGTCGCCATTTTCACTCACCAGAATCAGGGGGACGGGAGGACAGGAGGACAGGAGGACGCCTCCACTCTGTCTCTGGAGACTGGATTGGGCTATGATCACATCTGATCTCCTTTGTCTCCCCAGATGTTGGGACTTCCAGAACAGAACAATGCACTAATTGGTTTGGGTTTCAAAAGTACATTGGCCAGCAAGTTTTACTTTTTTAGTTTATTTTGAGGCAGGGTTTCTCTGTGTAGCCCTGGCTGTCCTGTAACTCACTCTGTAGAGTAGGCTGGCCTCAAACTCATAGCTCCAGAGTAGTGGGAATTTGCAAATCTGTAGTAGTCACAGTCTGGGGACCCACAATGTGCTTACCCCCATCTCGGGCCTGCTTACCCCTAGGGTCTCCCAGGTGTGGCTCTTGATCCTGTTTAGAGTCTGTCCCTGACTAGCGACTCCTTAATTTGTGGCAGCCATTGTGTTGGGCTCCCCCGGACTTCCAAGTCCACCTTGAACTTGCCCTTACTTAGGTACCATCCCAAGACCCCCATCCCTGAGTCTGGGGTCTTCCAGGAATCCTAGGCGAGTTCCCAAATGTTGTGGAGTTCGAGACTCCCATGGAAAAGACTACAGACTCCATCCAGATTATAATTAGTTGAATTTTAATAAACCTGCTAGCAGGACAGCAATCTCTAAGCCAAACGACAGACTGCTGTGCGAAGGGACGAGGGAGGGATTTTTAAAGGCAAAACCCCTAAGAAGTCCTTGAGTAGCTGGATAAACAAGCCACGTGCTGTTCTGCTCTGCCAAGATGGAAGCACCATTCAGGTCATAAAACTCATCATGTAGACAGTACCACTTGACAATACAAAACCAAAGACCTAATCCATCAAAGTTTATTGTTCTGAGAAAGTGTCTAAACATACTTTGTTTTTTGGCTTCTGTAATTCTGCTTCTGGCTAAAACTGTTCTTGTTTAATGAGTATGTCAACTCATGCCACAGTTTTTGTGCTGAAAAGCTCAACCTGAGAAAGGCTCAGTGTTGAACTGGGATCCCAAACACACAGCGTAGGTGCTAGCCAGCTAATAAAGACTTTATTGGCTTAAACCCATGTCCCAGCCTTCTCTGCTGGATAGTGGTAGTCTGGAGAGTGGAGGTCTGATGTCCAAGATAACCAAAGAGGTGCTACCAAAGGAGGGAAAGCTGAGAGGGAAAAATAAGAGTATTCAAAAGAAGCAGTGTGGGCAAAGGTCATTTGGACCTGAGAGGGCAGGCATGCTAGAATTTGGAAAATAATGGGGAGACTGGATCAAGATGGGCAAGGGTCAGACAAAACAACAGTCCTAAAGCCACTCCAGAACCAGGATTTCATTCTAAGTGTACTGGGAGGCACTGGAAGTCTTGAAGGGGAGGGATATACTTTTTAATTTTTGTCATATGTATACGGCTGTTTTGCCTGTTTGTATGTCTGTGTACCACCTGCATGCCTGGGCCTATAGGGAGCAGAAAAAAGAGATAGATCTCCTGGAACTGTAATTACAGATGGTTGCAAGCTGCCCTGTAGGTGCTGGGAATCAAGACATGGGTCCTTTCAAAGAGCAACTGGTACTCTTAAATCATTGAGCCGTCTCTTCAGCCTCCCTTCCCCTTTTTTTATTTTTATTTTTTCTCCCTTCCCTTTTTTGAAAATGCCAGGGATGAAACCTGAAACCAGGGTGTCAACACTGGGCTAAACCTCCAGCTTCACCCCCAAAGCTACCCTGTTTTTGAGATGGGGGTGTCACTCTTGTTATCTCAGCTATTCTAGATCTTGAAAGCTCAAGTGACCCTTTTACTTCATTTTAAAGTTAGTCTCGGGGCTGCAGGAGAATGGATCAGAAAAGAGAAAGGTTCCTCTTGTGTTTCTGTTGACTATGAGCCCAACTCAGGCCCTAGCTTCCCTAGTAACAACATGGTACCAGTATTCCCTGTTGCTGTAGTGGGGTTGACCTATGTACTATGAAGTTTGGCCATATCCTTGCCTCTACCCATCAAATCCTCCAAACAAAACTGTCCCCAGGCACTGTTAGTTGTTTCTTGCAGGGCTGGAGAGACAGCTCAGTGGTTAAAAGCACTGTCTGCTCTTCTAGAAGACCTGGGTTCAATTCCCAGCACTGACATAGCAGTTCACAACCGTCTGTAACTCCAGTTCTAGGATGTCCTACACCCTCACACAGACATACATGCTGGCAAAACACCAATGCATGTGAAATACAAAACAACAACAAAAACCCATCAAAATTAAGTGTCTCTTGCAGGATGATCCCTTGTTGAGAACAGCTGCCCTAAATGGAGAATGAATGGCCGATTCCCAGGGTTCCCTCAGGGTCCCTACTACAAGCACTAAACAACCAAACCTGGCATCTTAGTATCTGGGGTCAAGAGGCAGGAGAATGTCTTGCTTCTGTCTCTAACCTTACCCCATTGTAAAGCTGTGATGACTTTTCTGAATTACATATTATATTTCCATGAGCCTGGTCACTGGAGCTTCCTAGACAGTCCCGAGAAGCAGTGACCATCCGGGACCCTGGTCTTGTAGCTCCCTGTCCGCAGTGGGGAAAGCTAGTGGCTTCTCTGAGGGCATCCCTCCACATTGTAGGGCACCTGACAGAGCACAGTAAGCAGGCTGGAAACACATTTACTTTTATGAGAAAATAGACATCCAGTAGCAGCAGCATCTGCTCACAAACCCACAGCAGCAACTGGAAGGCAATGTGGAGATCAGTGCAGGTGTCCACGGAGCAGAGGGGTCACATACGCAGGAAGCCACCAAGTGCACAGCAAAACAAGAGTGTCCAGTCCAATGCGCACAACACTGACACAGCACCAAGAATATTTTACATCAAAGTAAGAGTTAACAACTGTGATACAGAAACACTAGACTGGGGACAGCATCTGCTACAACACAACAGGCTATGGCTGCAGCCCTTAAAGAGGAATTCACTCATTGCAGTTTAGCACAGGAGGGCAGGACACATCCTGCAGGGAATGTATAAGGCATTAGGACACATAGGTGTCTCTGCACCAGCCAGATACAAAACAAAAAACAAAAACAAAAACATGAGGTTCCACCAGATCGCTGATGTGGCCGAGGTGAGGTGTGGATGGGCCAGCTGAGTGCAACCAGTTCACAGGTGCCAAGAACCCCCTACAGGTCCAGAGTCCAATGCCTGTAGGCCCAGCTGCAGGGCAATGCCTCACCCAGGTGTTGGTTGGGAGCTGCCACGTGAAATCATCAGTTCCAGGAGATTTGAGTCCAGAGAGAGCAATTTACTTGTCTTCCTTGAGAAGGAACCAGGAGAAAGCCAACACCCAACTCCACAGGCACAAAGTTCTGGAAGGGGTAGGCTGACAATGGGTGCCACCTCTTGACCTAAGGGTTCATGTGGTACACAGGTTAGTCTCCTTGTCTGCACTGTACTTGGAGTCCACCCCAGAGATGACCTTATTCCCCCCAAATCTTTCCTAGAAGCCACAGAGCATCTGCCCCTTGAGTTAGGGGATATAGCCTTTTTTCCTAGAGCCCGCCCAGGGCCTGCCTTCCTCTTCAGGACATCTTGGTGTCCTAACTCACAGGCACAGAAAATGATTGTGTCTTGATGTCAAACTGAGATGGATCCAAGGTCAAGGAGGAGTGGAGGCCAGTGTGCCCTGGAGCTACAGCCTTCCAGGAATAAAGTTGCCAGCTAGAGTCAAGTCTAACCAATGGTCTCAAGAGAAGACAAAGGACCACTGGGCCCAGGGCTACTTCTGGCTCTCCCTAGACGTGGCTCCTGACTTCCCACTTGGCTGGGATGGGACTGAAGGAATGGATGTTAGTGCAGCCAAAGCTCATGTTCATTTGCTTGTCATCAGGCCCCGGCAGGGCTTTCTGCACTAAGTAAGGATGAGCAGCAGCTGTGCAGGTCAGAGCCCTTCCCGCAGAACAAAGCTCACCTCACGTAGCAGCTGAGGGGCTGACAAGTGGAGCTGCCTTGGACTTCTCAGGCATTTCTGGTTGCAGTTGAGTAAGCTTCTGTAATTGGAATCCCAATACATAAAGAGAGTGCTCTTCATTGCCCCAAGACACATCCCAAGACATCTAGAAGGTTCTGAAGTTTACTTTGACCCAAGTGGCTGCTCATAGTGTCTCACTGAAGTAAAGAGCTGGTACTGGGGACTCTCCAATAGGCCGACAGTGAGCCAGAACTAATGGTCACTTGTGAATGATGTGATGTGGCCATCTTAACTTCAGGGTGGGCACAAGTGAAAGTGCCCTGTAGTTACCACATGGCGTCCAAAGGCCTCCCTGAGCTCACCCACCTACAGCTTTCCTGTTGCCAATGGACTCTGTGATGACAGCCTCCCTGGTGTCTGGCCCCAGCCAGTGGGCATCCTGTAGTAGAAGTAGACCTGACTATCTTGACTTCTCTGAGCTTCTTGCTGGGGAGATCGGCACTGGCATCCTGGAAAAAACAAAGAATAGCCTGGGTAAATAAAAAGAGGGCAGTCCCTCATTTACTAGCAGAGAGAAAACTGAAGGAAATGGGTGGGCTGAGTACAAGCTGGTTCTGCCAGCTACCCAAAGAAAGTGAAGGGTGCAGACGGATGTGGGGCTCCTGCTGTCGACTGATACCTGGTAGCACACGCGTGCACTTAGCACAAGCAGCAGGTCTGACACCCTCCCACTTCTGCTGGGGCTGTACCATGACTTCCTCCTGCTGGTTTGGTTGTATGACTTTTCTCATAACTGCATTTGGAAAAAAAGAATAGAATGCCAACAAGGGGCTGGAGAGACAGTTCAACAGTTAAGAGAACTGGCTGCTCTTCTAGAGGACCAGGGTTTGGTCCCCAGCACTTACAAGGTGACTAACTGTAACTCCAGTTCCAGAGGATCCAACACCTCCTTCTGGCTTCTGAGAATAATACATGCATTTGGGGCACAGACAAAACATTCAGGGAAGCACCCAACACATAAAGAAAATCACGAAACAATGTAAAAGTATGCCAACATACAGGAAGAGCTTATGTACATTAAAACCACATGCATGAGCCAGTGCCACACCTGGACTTTCTTTGAGACAGGGTCTCACTATGTAGCCCTGGCTGTCCTGGAACTCAGAGATCTGCCTGTCTCTGTCTCCACAGAGTGCTGAGATTAAAGGTGTGTATTACCACACCCTACTACACCTCAACTTTCACATACCAAGTCACTGAATTCTAGCTGATTCTTTAGTGTTGAGTACTGATACACCCATTGCACAAAAGGAAACTGAAGCACAAGGTTCACTAACACGTCCAACATTTAAACATCCAGGCAAGAATGAGACTTCAGCTGAAGGACTCATGCTCTTACCACCTGCTTCCTCCTCAGAGATCAAGACATGGTTCTTCGGCTATGTTTGGCACGCCTTTAATCCTAGTGCCGAAGAGGCAGAGGCAGGTGGGTCTCTGTGAGCTGAGGATAGCATAGTCTACTCAAAAACAAACAAACAAAACCAAAAATATATAAACAACTTGATAGCTAAGTGGCAGAGCGGTCTAGCATTCTGGACCCTGCGTTCCATCCCCAGGATTACAAAAGCAAAACAAGGACCATAAACCCAACTGTCTGCTGGACTCTGCCACCAGGCACTGCTATAGGTGTCTTTCAGAGCCAACCTGAGGTATTTGGCATTCTACATGGCATTCTGTGTCTGGGCCCTGTCCTATGCATCATAAACGTAGAAAAGACAAAGAATTATTTGTAACCTAGTCCAGAAACAGTCCATGTGGCCAGGTTTGGGAGCAGCTTGGCCAAAGTCAGCTCTATTTCTTTAAGTCAATGGCTCCTTACGAATCCACTCAAAGCAGTATTTCTCACTGCCAATGACAGGAGTTATCAGAGCTCTGCACAAATCAAAGCAAATCAGACAATGCAGGCACCCCTTGGGTGGTTTGATTGATTTGGCTATTGTAGATTCTGTGTCCATAATATCACTCTCCTGGAACATCAAACTGCAGAAGGTACATTGTACCGCTCCCTGCCACTTATGGTTCCAGTCCAGTTCCAGGGATCCCAACATCCTTTGCGAGCTTTTCCTTAGCTCTGAAGGACTAAGCCTATAGAAAGCTCAAAGAAACCACCTGCAAGCTTGCTGTGGCTCAAACTCCACATTAAGAATATGGATCAGAAACCAGGTGTGGGGTGCATGTGTAAATTCCAGAACTCTGGAGGCTGAATCAGAAGGTTCATGGTGAGTTCAAGGCTAGCCTGGGCTATATAGCTAGTTCTCAGCAGCCTGAGCTACATATCAAGACACTGTCACAAAAAAAAAAAAAAAAAAAAACAGGTAAAAACAAATCCCAAGTGAGCACTTTGGCATCTAGTTTAACCACATTTGATGGGTTATGCCTGTCACTTCAGCATTCCAGAGGCATAGGCAGGAGCACTGTGAGTGTGAGTCTGAGGCCAGTCCAGGTTACACAGTGAGAGCCAAGACAACCTGGGCTAGAGTGAGGCCCTGTCTCAACAAAACAAAACAGGTTGGCAAACAAACAATAGCAGTGTCAAGTTTGGTTAGCAAACAGCCACACCCACTCATTCTGTGCCATCTGTAAGGGCTGTGGCAATATGTCGCACAAGTGTCTGTGTGGCTGCAAAGACAAGAACAAAATCTGGCCCTTTACATAAAACACTGCTAATCTCTGACCTGGATTCATGAGGAATGACACTGGGTGACCCCGCCTAGTGGCCCTCTTGGTTTGGATGAACACACACTATCTTTGGTTTCCCCTCAATATTGAGGGACTCTGTACCATGAAACCTTCGCAGACATCCTTAGGACAGGGTTAGAGCCTGTGACCAGGATGCTGCCTTGCCACCTGGTAACACCCCCAAGTTTCCAACGTCCCAGAGGTATGTGTGTAACTCCTCTAACCTAGGACATGCTGCCTGAGTGTGCTATGCAAACATCTATACCAGCTAATACCCATTTTCTCACAATTTCACCTTATTGGATTTCCATATTAGATTAAGCCATCCTCTCCCATGGGGATACTCCTGGGGTTGCCTGCATAAGGAGAGTGCAGTGTGGGAAGACTTCTACATGGAATGTTCTGCCCATAGGAAGCAGCAGGACAAGCCCTGGTCCAACTGTAGCCTCAGTTTGCACTTCCTGACAGTGCATCAGCAAACCTGGCTAGGCTAGTGCCACAGGAGGCACCAGAGACACACTCATGTCAGCTTTTAGAAACAGGATGGCTAACACGATATATTTGGGTTTTTTCTCATTATTGTGGCAACTGTCTGAAAAAAGCAACTTGGTTTCCTTGGCTCCTTGTTTGAAGGGATGCAGGCCACGATGGTGGGGAGTGTGACATGGATGGCCACATTGCCTGTAACTGGGAGACAAATAGATGAATGCTCCAGCTTTTAAGTCTCTTAAGGCTCTGTGTGTGTCTCTACTGCTGTGTCAGTGTGTAGATCAGAGGACAATTTAGAGGAGTTGGCTGGCTCTCTGCTGCCACTTTTACATGAGTTCCAGGATTGAACTCAAACTGTCAGGCTTCTGAAGCAAGTGCCTGCTGAGCCATCTCTCTTCAGTTACCTCTCCCTGGCAGCACTCTCAGGCAGTCAGACACACCTGATGTGTTTCCTACGTGATTCTCTATCCAGTCAGGTTAACCATGAAGATTAACTACCACACTTGGTAAAACATTCCTACCAGGGAACACAGCTACCCTTCATCATTTATTTCTCATGGTTTCTTTATCTGTTCAAACCTATCTCTAGTTCTGGCTGGGGACCCGTCTTTCAGGGCAGAGTCCTCAAAGACTAAAGCTACTATTAAGGCTTTTTTTTTTTTTTTTATGTCCAAATCTCTGCGACCTTTCCCCCAACTTACCCTTCTGGTCAGCAGTCACTTTGCTGTCTTAGAACACAGACCCCCATAGAGCAGCTGGGACAGAGGGCAGGCACAACCACATGGTCTGGTCCTGGTGACAGGCAGGACATGGAACTGACCTGAATGGTAGGCTGCCATGGGGCAGGGCCACAGTTGTTTCTGATGGTACAGTGGATAGAAGCTGCTGGTGACACCCTGGAGCCACAAGACCTAGTCTAAACAATCTGCCACTATGACTGGGTGTAATGGTTCACTGAAGCCACTTGGATGGGTCCAGACTACTTGTCTACGATGGTGGCTGGGACAAGGGTACACAGTGCAGTCCAGTTTCAGGCACTGGGGCTGAGCTCAGAGACTGTTGGTCCAGCCAGAAGAAAGAAATTTCAGGATTACTGAAGTTAGCTGCACAGAGATGAGCAAGGGGACCTGGGTCCTCAGAGCTGGTCAAAGTGCTGCCTGCCATCCACCTCAGGGTTCCTTGCCCCTAGAAGACTGCATGGGGCTGGGTATCTAGAGTCAGAAGCCTTCAAAAGAACTGACAGATGCATAGTGGATGGTGCAGGCAGAGGCAGTAGAGGGAGGCAGTGGCCCTCACAAAAAGTTGTAACACAAAAAAATCAATGACCCAGAGACAGCTACTGGGGTTCAAGCTTCAAGCTGAAGGTTGGAAAAGCAAAGCAGCCAGCCAGTACCTCTTACCTCTACCTCAGCTAAGACTCAGGACTCAGACTCCTCCCAATTTCACTGCTCTTCAGATTCACTCAGATTGCTATGCCCTCCTCAACAAGGCTAGAGACTAACTCTCAGATTGAGTGCCTCTACCTTTTATGCCTCTAAAATGCTGGAATTAAAGGCGTGAGCTCTGAGTCACTCTCTGGTAGCCCATGGTGGTCTTGGACTCAGAGATCCATCTACCTCTTAATCCTGAGTCCTGGGATTAAAGGTGTATACCACCACTGCCTGATGCTTGAGGCTGGTTTTGCCTTTCTGAGTCCCCAGGCAAGCTTTAATCATAAATAACATATCACCACAAACAGGGGTGTCTCTTTAGCTGTAAGTTCTCGATGACCCAAAGCTGTTCCAAAGATGGCCCTGAGTAGAATGAAGTAGTCTGGAAAATGGCTGGAGGTGCAGGAAGCCCCCAAGGAGCACTGTGTTACCACCAAGTTTAGACTCACAGGGTAGAAAGCCTCTGTGGATTCTCATGTCTGATGGATTTTCCTTTTGATGACTGAGGCATGGCAGCCAAAAGAGCCATCAGTAGCACACTGCATAGGAAATCTAGACCAACATCTGATGTTTGACAAAGATCCATAGCTGTAGGCTGCCCTGCTCAGTGCTTCTTCCTTGGATGACGCTTCCGATGCCGGATGAGGCAGGAGCTGTAGGCGAAATATTTTCCACACTCCTCACAGCCATACGGCTTCTCTCCAGTATGCATTTTCTGGTGTTTCAGAAGATTGGAGCCACAGTTGAAGGCCTTCCCACACTCACCACATTTAAAGGGCTTCTCACCGGTATGAATTCTCAGATGTTTGGTGACATCTGAGCTGTGCCTGAAGGTCTTCCCACACTGGTCACACTTGAAGGGCTTCTCTCCAGTGTGAACTCTCTGGTGGCGAATGTGATCTGTTTTGTGTTTAAAGATTCTTCCACATTCACTACACTCGTAGGGCTTCTTCCTCTGAAAAGGAACAAACACAGGGACACCCTCAAAGTCATCTTTAAATGAGGCATCAAAGGCATCAAAGATGTGTGCCTCGTCTTCAGGGCTCAGGACAGTCTGTTTGCGGGGCTTCCTGGGCTTTGCTGACCTCTTGGTCGGCTTTTTCCCCTTCGATGCTTTCTCTCCTTTGACAGTGGTCTTTTGCACAGCTGCTTCCTCCTTTGTGGCCTGTGTCTTCTTTTTCCTGCCTGCAGGCTTTTCCATTGCTGCTCCTTGGAAGTTGGAAACACCCTGGAAGCCAGGGAAGGCTGAGGGCTCCTCGCCAGTGGCAACCGGCTTCTTAGTTGTGACTTCACTGTCAGGGATAGCTCACCACATCCCGCTTATGAAGCTCCATTTTGGCATCAAGCAGACAGAAACACCGTCCTTTTACTTCTGGAGGCAAAAGCATTAACAACAGGTCAAAGGCAGCTCTCAGGACTGCAGTCCCTCCACTGCCCTCCTCCCAAATGCTCATTAGATGGGCATCTCAGACTAACAAGGACTTCTCAGAGCTCCAGTCCACTTCACCGGTCCACAGCATGCTCCCCTCTTTGAGTGGCACTCTCACTCACTCAGCCACTGACCAGGAGACACCCCTTACCCTAAGAACAAGGTTTTCACTCATCCCACAGACCTCCATATCCGCCACGGACCAAATGGCCACTTCTCACCTCCCCAAATGCCCTTCCTTACCTTCTCTACTTGCCTACATTGGGACTGTGCAAGTACCCTGCAGCAGTCTGGTTCTAAGCCTGGGAAACTCAGGGCTGTCCTCATAATCTACAGCAGCCACCAAACTCCATCACACCTCCAAAGGCCCCTAGTGCCCACAAGCCTTTCTCTATGTGACCCCTCTTTATCTCTAAACCTGCACCATGCCTTTTACCCCTGTAGGCCTGAAGGGGTGGGCTATGCTGGCAGTCCCATCTAGAGCCCCCACACCTGTCCAAAAACACAACTGCCACTTTGGGAGCACACTGTGTTTCGTTATAAGCATTGGACAGATGACTACTTATCTAACCCAGCACATTCAGTTCTTATCTGGATTCTGAGTCCAAGTTCCAGGTAGCTATCAGCTAGGCATTTGCCTGCACTGTCTGAACATCCGCCTCTGAAAGTGTTTGTCTTTTGTGGGACAGCTCAGGAGGAGACATCTGAGAGTCCCTGTCTGACAGCATCCAAGCTCAGTACCAATTCAAACACCGTCACTCTGGTGAAAGGAATAACAAGCGGTACCCAGGTCTCTTGTGTTTGTTCACCAAGGCTTATTCTCGTTGAAAACTGAAAACAGTCGTTAAAAGCAGAGAAGACCACAGCGACTGCATTATTTGCCCCCTTCCCTCCCAGGCCCGTGCACAAGAGTGGGTGCGAGTGATTCAGGCAACTTAGTTCAATTCAGCGGGCCTAACGGCTCGCGTGCATCAAAGCGCTGCAGGACCTGGAAGGACTCAAGCCACCCAGCTGCAAGGGGCTTCGCTAGGAAGCCCGCCCCACCTTCCCCGCCTCCAGGACCTCCGCAACACCGCTGAGTGGCCGGCGGCCCACGGAGCTGACCTTCGCCAAGCCGAGGACACGGGGCGCGCATGCAGAAGATACCTGGTAGGTGTCGAACGCAGACGTTTGCGCGGGCGGGCGACGGTTACAATCCCCACTTGAGCCGGCAGCTCCCGCCTCTCCCGCGCCTCAAGGCGCCCGCCCCTCTGCGGCCGCTCTACCTTCCCAGCCTCTCGGTGGTGCGGCCACGCGCTCAGTAGCCCCACCCACCGTTCTTAGCCGCTCCCAGGGTCTCTCTAGGAGCCCTTGCCGGGCTCTCGGTGGTACCCCGACCTCTCATTCTCGCCCTTCTGGTGCCGCTCTAGGAGCCGTCGCCAGGCCTCTTTGTGGTGCTGCGCTCGGATTCGTAGGCCCGCCCACCTCTTCCTGGCGTTTCGGGGCCTCTCTAGGAGACTCGGCACGACCGCTTTGTGGTGCTGCGGCGGCGGCCTTGCGCATAGGTTGAGGGGGATACCAAGGATGTTCCTGCGGCTGTGCAGCCTTTTGGACAGCGGGCGGCGCTTTCCTCCCGGCGGCGTTTACGGGCGCAGAGACGCCTCCTTTTCTCCGGGCTCCAAGCCGCCTACGGTCTTCGGGCTTGTCACTTGTTCTGCCCATCAGCTCTGGGATGGCGGATCCCCCGTGTGCATGGCATGTGGACGCCCTGGACCCGACTGCTCAGGCCTCCCCTGCTCTGTCCCTGGTCCCTGGCTCCTGGCCTTTCTCTCCAGATGCTTAAATCTGGTCCCTTCTTGTGTTGTTCCGACTTTCTGGATGCACTCTCCCTCACTATATTTTGTCCAGGTTGGCTTAGAACTAGAAATCTCCTGCCTCAGCGTTTTTCGAGTCCCAGGATTATGTGTGCCCCACGGCGCTTGGAAATCTTTGCAATTCAAATCGAGAACCGCCGCGCGCTTGACTGAGTCTCCCTGGGGACGCCATTTTGTGTGACTAGCACACAACATCAGGGCCTTCTATGCTTTAGAAGCCGGCATCTCAGACCTCAAGCAAACCACTGATCTGTCGTCTCCCCCTCCCCCCTTTAGACTCAATTGTCAGCATGCTAGACAAATGTAATTGTCCAGTGTGCAGCTTGCCTATTATCTATCACTCTGGGGTCGCAATCTAGATTCGCAAGGGTGGCTGTGTATGGAAAGGTGATTCATTCAGCCTCCTGACTGAGTTGCCCCCGCTCTTTGTGCACCACAGCTTGTTGGATCTTTTGCCCCATGAAGGGTGCTCATGAAGTTGCCGTGAAGACCCCCGTGCTGGTTCATTTCCTTGGGACCATGCTCAGGAATGCGGTTGCCAGGTCCTACACTGTTTCCTTTTGTAAGGATCAGCCAGGCTGCTTCCCAGAGAGCCTGTGCTGTCTCTCATTCATTCCTACCAGCAGTATGGGGTTTCCTACCTCACCAGCATTTGGAGCAGGGAGGTAGGCATCTCCTTGTTTGCATTTCCCAGAGGCCTAGTCCTCTGCATGCCTCTTGCCATCTGTATGTAGCGCCCCTCACCCCCACGCCCAATGACAAGTCTCTTACCTATTTCTAATGAGGTGGCTTGAGTTGGATGTGGGTAGATTGCAGACACAGGCCTTGTTCATCTGGTTCTCAGGTGGGCTACCCTACTTGTCCCCACTGGTTCACTTGTAGAACAGTTTCCTTTTGAAGTGGCTGCCCTCTGGAGAATTATACTCTTCTCTTGTTGATGGGACACGACTGCTAGGACCATGGCCTGGGCTTGCTCACATGGTCCAAGCTTTTCTCTAAGAGGACAATATGGTTTCTGTTGCTGAGAAGCCCTGGTGTCTGGCCACTGCCTTTGAGCTATCTGTGCACATGTCCCCTTTGTCTGGTGGGCTGGAGTATTTAGTGCCGAGGGTCAGCCTAAGGAGGTGCCATCTTCACTGATATAGAACTGAGATGTGGCTGTGTTCTGGAGAAGTCCTGATAGTGGCCATTCACATGGGAACCTGGATACAGAGGATTTGGGTAGCTTTAGAGCTCTCTAGTGGTAATGGATTGTCCCTGCACTGGCTTGTCCCTCTATCACTGGCTTCTACAAACCAAAGGGTTCCTGGAAGGGCAGTGGTGATGAGTTTCCTTCCTCAGAATTTCCTGCCTTGAGGACAGCACCCACCCCCATCCCCCATCTCATCCCTCCTACTCCCCCACCACCACCACACTCAAAGGCTTTACAACCCAGAAAGGAGCAGTAAGGCCACCCTAAATGAGTACCTTCTATCCTGGGAGATAAGGTGGCTCCAGGGAGCCCAGAGGAATAAAGTCCCTGGCTCTGTCCCTATCAGCAGGAGGAGCAAGTAACCCCAGAGTGGGTATTTGTCATGAGTACACAATGTCAGAAACACAGGTGAACATACCTGTGTCTTTTCACAGTGTCAGAATTTATTGAATAACAAGTTCACAAGCTACATTGGTTTCCTTGACTGTTATTTGTCAAGGGGTCCCGATTTGCCCTGACAGCTACAGCAACAAGCATAGCTTCTTTTATTCCCATTGTTAACTACTGTGATCATACCTCAAATGGTACACAGTTGTCATATCTGGACCTGTAGCCATCATCTATCAGTTTATTGTCTATCTATAGGGTAGGCTTCAGAATGGCCGTAACAGGATTAAAGAGGCTACTGCAGAATTCTAAGAGGTCTTAGTGGAGGTAAAATCGGGAAGCTGACAGAGATGCAGAATCCCTGGTGCGTGAGAAACAAGTCCTGTTGGGGAGCTGCTGCTAGAGGCCTCGATAGAGCCAGGTCCCAGCTTGAGAGTTCAGCTGAGCTGCAGGGTCTAGTGGAGCTAAGCAAGTGATGAGACCGGAGACTGTGGAGGCAGTAGAGGCAAAGGGCAGAACTGTGTCCAGACGGGCAAGTAGATAGATAGATGGAGGGGACCATCTCAGCAGTGAGGACTGAGTTGAGCCAGTGTCCTTGGGGCAGTTGGGTGTTCCTTGCTTGTTGGTTTCTCAATTCAAATGCTATACAGGGTGGCCAAACCACAGATTTATGAGGCTGTACCCATCATACTATTGGCTGTCCTCTTCAAGTCTTTTTTTCTTTGTGTTTGTGAGTATGGGCACACATGTGGCCGTCAAAAAGATCACTTTGGGTTGGGGCTTGCCCTTCTATCTTGTTTGAGACAGGCTTTCTTTGTTGTTTGCTGTTACATATGTGAGGCTAGCTGGCCCATGAGTCTTTGGGCTTCTGCTGTCACCTCTCCCATCTTGCCATAGGAACACTGTGCTTACAGACATGTGCTACCACATCTGGCTGGTCACAGCCCAGGTCCTCAGGATTATGCCACAAAAGCTTTACCCACTAAACCATCTCCCCAGTCCTATTTTTGCTTTTTATTTTATTTTATTTTCTGTTTTGTTTTTTGAGACAGGATTTCTCTGTGTACCCCTGGCTGTCCTGGAACTCACTCTGTAGACCAGTCTGGCCTCAAACTCATGAAGATCCACTGGTCTTTGCCTCCAGTACTGGTTAAAGGTGTGTGCCACCACACCCAGCTTTGTTTTTCAACTTAAAAAAAAAAGGCGTGTGTGCATGTGTTTGTGTTATATGAGCAGGTATGTGCAGGTGTGTGTGCCCTGTGCAAATGTGCAGGTCAGAGGAAGATGACATCAGGCATCCTATCCTGTCATGTTCTATCTTATTCCCCTGAGACAGGGTTTCTCACTAAATCTGGAGCTAGACAGTCAGGAAGCCTTAACAATCCTTTTGTCTTCATCCTCCCATAGCTGCAACTGGAGGCTTTTCTGTCCCATCTGGCCCAGCAGCTGTTTCTAAATAGTCACTCAGAGACTTAATATTAACTATAAATGGCTGATGGCTCAGGCTTATTACTAGCTAGCTCTTACATTTAAATTAACCCATTTCTATTAATCTGTGTATCATCACGTAGCCAGTGGCTTACCGGTGGTGCTCTGGCATGTTGCTCCTTGGTAGGTTGCTGGCGTCTTTCAGACTTTACCCTTCTCCTGTATCTCTACTTGGATTTCCTGCCTGGCTCCATCTTGCCTTGCCATTGGTCAAAGCAGCTTTATTTATCAACCAATGAGAGCAACACATACTCACAGTGTATAGAAAGACATCCCATATCACATAGCTCTGGGGTTATGTTCAACCTTGTCCAGCTTTTTACTTGTGTTCTGTGGATTTGAACTCAAATCCTCATGATTGCACAACAAGCAATCACTTTAACCCTGAACTATCTCCCCAGTCCCCAAAGTGGCTATTTTTATATAATTATTTACATATTTTTACTTAATTCTTTTGTACCTGGGTTATTAACACTATTTTTGGTCAAAAGAACAGAGAGTTCGACTCATTTATTCTTCTTTGTTGGAGACATGACATTCTTTACTGCTCCAAAGATCACGACATTGCTATCTAGCAGGTGCTTTGTGGTAAAAGTCATTGTCCCTCCCTTCAGAGTTAATCCAAATGGCTCTATCACTCACCTGGACAGAAAGTGCTCTCAAGAAAGCCAACTGTTGGGCTGGAGAGATGGCTCAGAGGTTAAAAGCGCCAACTGTTCTTCCAGAGGTCCTGAGTTCAATTCCCAGAAACCACATGGTGGCTCACAACCATCCCTTAGGAGGTGCCCTCTTCTGGTGTGCAGATATACATGGAAGCAGAATGTTGTATACATAAGAAATAAATAAAATCTTTTTTTAAAAAAGAGAGCCAACTGTTTGAAACTTCAGATCAGATGGTGACCCTCTGAATTTAAGCATGTTAATCATCGGAGGAAAAGAAAGTAACCAGGCTTCCTTCAGTCCCTCAGTGCCGAATCCCTGCTGTGCGGAGGGGAATGTGGTGGGAAATGTGGAGTAGGCAAGACCCACTCTCCCAGCACTGCTTGTGGGGGCCCCAGTCCTTCTAATCAAGCTCCACCCCCCAAAAAAGAAAAAAAGCCAACTTTTCCAGAAATGCTAAGAAAATCGACTAAACCCTGCAAGAGGGCTCAGTAAGTAACGGTGCATGCCACGAACCCTGGTGATCTGAACCCAGTCATAGGATACACATGTTGATGGATGACGCCACAGTGGCACAGGTTTTATTGGAAAGGGACCTGCAGAGGGCATATCTCCAGGGTAGGAAAGTAGAGGGCCCGGTGTCTGCTTCCAAGCTGAGGTTACTATAGGGCAGAAAAGGGAAAGAAGGAAGAGGAGTGAAATATCTTTTTTTAGGACTGCTGTTGACTGTTGCTAGGGGTAGCTAAGGAAATAAGGCCCGTGATGGGTAAAAGAACATCAGGTGACTAGTAAGCATCCTTCATGGCTATCGTTAACCCGGGTTGATAGGCTGAGTTGCATAAAAAAAAAAAAAAAAGTCACTGGGAAGCAAATTTCTTTAGTTTCAGGAATTGTTATTGTTTAACCCAATGTAGGAGCTTTGCAAAGTGACATGGCCATGGCTGACAGGTCCTACCATATTCTCTGCTGTGGAAAGAAATCTCTGGGGTGGGAATGTAGTATGTACTCTGAGGGGGTGACTAAGAGCTCCTACAAGTGAGGCCATTCAGGGTGACTGGAGGCTCCATGCTGAAGCATTATGTGTAAAGTATTTGAGCTTGGATGGGTGCTGGACCTGAATGTGCTTGGTTCATGGGAACCTCCCCAAACATGGAGAGGCAATGGCAGTAGTGATTAGATATGGAGGTAGGGCAGTGCACATGAAAAACACTAAGCTGGTCCTAAGGCTAGGCAATCAGTCCCTCAAGTGTGTGTTTTTCTATTTCTCCTAAGCAAGAAAACATGCTAGCAGTGGGCATGTTGCTGGACACCTGCATAGCCCCATTTTCTGTGTGTAGCTATTTCCTCTGACTCGGAACATTCCTAAAGAGGGCAGCATGGCTCTTAAGACTCAGGTAGTAAGCAGAAGGTGTAATGTTTACAAAACCCTGCTCAAGGTTATAAAAGCAGCAAATAATTGCTTTTGTAGACTTTCCACTAGGCCAAGCTACTTGCAAGTTGGGCAGAGAGCTCCAGGGATGAAGTATTTGTGAGCTGTCTCATGTTGGGGGTGGGGTTTTTGTTGATGCAACTCCCTTTGAATGACCCAGACAGCTCACTGGTTCACAACATTAGATGTGGAGGGCTTCTTTCTTTGGTTTGTCATTAGTGTCCTGTCTGAAGTGAACAGATGTGTCTTCACATCTCCCCAGGAAGAGTCATACAACACCATGGGTGGGGGGTGTTTCCCTTGATAGTGTGAACTGCAAAGGCAAAGTACGAACCTGAATCACAGCTGCCATTATGGAACTAGGAAAGGTGGTTATTTGCTCAGTCCCTAAGTCCTTTCAACAGTGACAAAGCCAGACAGGGCCCTGGAGAGATGGCTCAATGGTTAATAGCCTTGGCTGCTCTCAGAGGACTTGTGTTCAATTTCTGGCACCCACCTAACAACTCACAATCCATACTCCAGTTCCAGGGGATCTGACATCCTCTTCCAGTCTCCGAAGGCACCAAGCATGTATGTGGCACATGCATAGGCAAATATTCATACACATAAAATAAAACTAAGTAAGTAAGCAAGGAAGTAAGAAGAAGCCAGAGAGTTGACGGAGAAGACTATGGATTATTGAGATTTAAATAAGACTGTGACTCCCACATCCATGCCATTGTATTCAACACTGCTCTTTGGCAGAACAACTGATACAAATGACCAGATCTTTTTCTGCTGTACTAGACCTTGCTAATATTTTTTTTTGAGACAGGGTTTCTCTGTGTAGCCCTGGATGTCCTGGAACTCACTCTGTGGACCAGGCTGGACTCAAACTCAGAGATCCCTCTGCCTTCCAAGTGCTAGGAAGTAAGCCACTGCCACCTGGCCCTTGCTAAAAGTGCCCTTCTAGAGTCTGGAGATGTCTCAAAAAAGGAGTACTGCTCTTGTAGAGGATCTCAGTTTGGTTTCTACACCCATGTCAGGTGGCTCACAACCTCCTGTAACTC